CTTGGATCTGTGAGCCAGAAAATGTGCTATCTTTTTAACATTATATTCTGCTTTTAAAGCACAAAACCTAAAACATACTTATTCAGCAAATACAAAAACTTTTGACTTTAAAATAATTTATAAAGATGAAGACAGAAAAAAAATAGTGAATAGACTCAAATTTACGCATGTTCCCCAAAGTTTTTTTTTTTTTTTTTGCGGTACGTGGGCCTCCCATCGCCGTGGCCTCTCCCGTTGCGGAGCACAGGCTCCAGACTCCAGAAGCACAGGCTCAGCGGCCACGGCTCACGGGCCCAGCCGCTCCACGGCATGTGGGATCTTCCCGGACCGGGGCACGAACCCGCATCCCCTGCATCGGCAGGCGGACTCTCAACCACTGCGCCACCAGGGAAGCCCCAAAGTCATCTTTTTATTTTAATAGTAGTGCTGGTTTAATCGATTGTTTACAATTATCCTATGCTATGTTTAGGAACAGATACCAAAGGATTCTTCTTATTCAACAAACCTGTATTTCTGTAACCTGTGAGCTGAAAGAATGATCCATATTACACTTTCTTCTGCTCTACAGGTCAGTTCTCTGTCAGAATTTTCCCAGGAAAAATTAAATTAGTATAAACAAACCTATAAAAAATTATTTGGGGGACTTCCCTGGTGGTCCAGTGGTAAAGAATTCGCCTTCCAATGCAGGGGATGCAGGTTCGATCCCTGGTCAGGGAACTAAGATCCCACATGCCATGGGGCAACTAAGCCCGTGTGCCCCAACTACTAATCTCACCCACTCTGGAGCCCGTGCGCCACAACTAGAGAAGAGAAAACCCGCACGCCACAACTACAGAGAAGTCCGCGCGCCACAACGAAGATCCTATGTGCTGCAACTAAGACCCGACGCGGACAAAAAAAACAAAACAAATTAATTAATTAAAAAAAAATTTTTTTTCTAATTTAGCTGTTAAGTAAAGAGCTAAAAATTATTAAGATAGTGCGTAAAACAATATAGTGACTCCTTTCACCAAATAATTCTGACATATTATCTATTTTTATAAACAAAACATATGCTTACTTTGTCCTGTCTTGATTTTTTATATAAATAATTATTTCAAATTAACATTTTCTGCTCAATAAGTACATTTTGTTTTACTCTACAAATAAGTAAGTTTTTATAAGGATTTTTATATCTGAATATCCTATTCAGATATTCAATCTTAGGTCTCTTCTGGGCAAGTGGATTGTAATTGCCAAGAATGTATTACAGCAATAACATTTGCAGAAATTTCCAATAGTGCCATTAATATCTGTTGAACTGAATACAGGCTTCTACTGGTTTTTATTTTAAAACTTACCACTTTATAATTTTTTAAAAAGCACAAATTATCTAAAACATTTGTTACTTGATGGCTATATACTTACCTTTGGATAACTGCTTCATGAATTCTTCGATACATGTAGCATTCTACAAACAACCACGGTGAGAGAAACCACCTTGGTTTTCCATTACTTTCATTTAAAAGGCTCTGTTGATATTCTAGGTACTGATTCCATAGGTCAGTATCAACAAACTTCTCAACCAAAGGAACAATTGGTTTATCTGTTTGCAATTCATTCCGTAATTTAGAAAGAAGAGAAATTGCTTTCTTTTCAGCTTCCAGGCCTTTCTGCAGAAATAAAGGGGGGGAAAAATACACACACACACACACACACACACACACACACACACACACATGAATAGTTTACATGTAATTAATTTATACATAAGTATTTCATCTACAAATATAAGTATATATGTACACACATATATACATAATTCCTCTAGGGTAGCAAATTTTTATGTATCTAAATTTAAGAAGAAAAAATGAATACATTTCAAAACTACATTTTATGTCTTTCAAAAACTATTATAAACATTTAAATTTAGAATTCTTAAGTTGAAAAATCAAAGAACACAGATCTCATATCAGCATTATGTTACCTTATCTAGCCTGCCTTTATTTTTTTAAGTTTCACCATGTGAACTTAATCTCCAGGTGGAATGACCATTACCACAGAGGGAAAACTGTTTATTGTGTTTCTATTAGAGTTAACCAAAAAAGAATTAATGTTAAAACACAATTCTTACCTCTCCATGTTTCTCGAAAAATTCACTTTTATGTCGATGCAATGTATCAATAGCCTTGGTTAAGATCTGTGGTAATCTGTCTTTAACTGTAAGATATGCAAATGACCTAGAAAAGAGTCATATACACGGTATATTACTTAGTAGCATTAACATTAGAAGGCTGGTCATCTTTCAGTTTCTGGAACACCTCATTTAAATTCAAATTCCTTCTCATACAAGCCCTGTAAAGTAAACCAGCATTGCCCAACTCCTACAGTAACACAGGAAGATCTGAAAACCTCTCTGGTATATCCTAAAAGCTAAGCACTCTTTGTGCCTCAAATTCCAGGCTCTACCCTGGAGTCCACTTAATCTTTCTTATCTTTCTCATTGTATTCCTTTTATTTTCCTTAATCAGAAACCAGTTTAACAATGTGATAGGACAGAAAAAGAGTTATCCTAAAAATCAAACAGGTTTTACTCCTAGGCCTATTACTTACTAAGCGACTTCTACTTAGAAAGATGAATGAGGCAATGGATGGAAAACTGCCTGAAAGACTTTACTGTGCTAGAAAAATATAATGAAAGATATTTATGAACCTGCTTCTCTTTGTCTATACTCTTAGCCAACTTAATTCTTTCCTAAGGTTTTTCTTGCTGCCTTCTTTACCTGCCTAATAACTCCTTCCATCCTCTCTGCCCCTAAAGAAAATTAAGGCAGATTACCATCTTGCTCTCCCAACCAGAAAATTAGAGATTTTCAAAAAGTGTCAAAGAATGAAGAAAGCTGGAGAGGAACAAAACTTGACTATACCTGAATCAAAAATTAAAGATATTCTTGACTTTAGACATGCAAAAATCAAGGGTTACAGATTATCACTGTATGTTTAAGGACATACATGATTCGGTTAGAAAAAAGACTTTAGTACTGTGCAGTTTTTAGATAGAAAGCACAAAACTTAACTGATCAGTTCATGTATATCTTCAGATCACCAGAGACAAAGTAAAAATGAAGAAAGTTGGAATACTTCTGCCCAAATCTCCTATTCTAACTTTAATGTGGGATCATCACACTTCTAAAAACTCAAAGACCTTATTGCAATTTGTAAAAATAGGGTTTTATACCCTGAGTATTTTTTCAAGAGGCTTCCTCAAATGTTAACCATAAAACTCAAAAAAATAGGAAAAGTGCTTTCTGATTTGTGGTGTTTTACAGTGAGTAGGTTTTAATATGCATAATAACTGCTCTGATCAGAATTTAACTTTTAACAATTACTACTAATTCCTTGGGAGAAGAGAAAGAATATTAAATCAATTGAATTTTCCAAGGCAGCAGATATGAAAAGAAGTGCCAGTCCTTTGAGATTTTACTTAACTGGAAAATTATTCTATTTTTCCAGCTAGTAAATTTCCTCAGAGGCTTCCATCTCTAAGGGTAAGGTCTCAGGTCTAGGACTTGGGTGAGAGCAGAGATGCCTAGGACTCAAAAATTAAGGACGCAGACACTCCCTATATTTGCCTGAAGGTGATTTCATTGGCCTCTCTGGCCTCAATCTACTGCCGGTACGGTCAATTTCTTCCAAGTGCTCTTGTGTTTTGCCATCTTTCGCAGTAAGGACATATTTCAAATATAAATTGGGCCTCTCAATTTATACAGAGAGATGTAATAATTTTATAGAATCTATAACATGACGCCTAAAACGCAAGAAAGTACAGGCACTTGTTATAGTGGGATTATGAATTAATCCGGTCACCAACAGGAAGAAACACATTTCTCGATAGATCTCAGACCCCTAACTTTTGCAGACAACTTTAACCCCCCCAAAGTAGGTTTATTAATTAAAATATGATTAAAGCCACGCGCTGCAACACTCTGAAAGGAGGCATACACTCTCAAGACAGTCATGCGTAAGTTAAAAAAAAAACCAAAACCAAAAATAAACCCGTATCGAACCACTTGAAAGACGCGTTAACTGATTCACATTAATTGAAGACTATCAAAACCCCTGAACCACCATTGTAGAGAGAGGTGGGGGTAAGCGGAGATTTTCAGTCGGGGTTCGCAGTCCGTTCCCGTGTAGGCAGGGAAGAAGCCACGAATCCTTCCACGCGCAAGGAAGCAGCTGCAAAGCCGATCCGAGCCTGGAGCCCGGAGAGCAGCCGCTTAGCCCTCGCCTCCCCGCGAGCCGTTAGAAACCGAGGCACCGCCTCCGGGAAGCGGAGCCCGGACAGCGGGATGGAACTCGCTGGCGGCGGGGAGCAGGCGCCTCCGGCCCGCCGCTGCTTCCCCGCTGGTACCCACAGGTTCCCGACGTGGCCCAGCTCTCCGCAAAAGTGGGGAGGAGGAAAAGGAGCGGAGCGGGCGAGGAAAGCGACACGAACCCTACGTCCCGTGCCGAGAGAGACACCGGAGGCCCCGCCATCACCTTCCGCGCTCCCCACGCCAACGCTCGGGTTTCACCCGCCGCAGGAAGGGAGGCGGTGCAGGCGTGGGGGAGGAGCTGAGAAAGGGAGGGATATGGATTAAAAAAATGCTTTTGAATGAAGAAACTTTATTTGGTGCCCGTAGAAGAGAAAAACAATGGCCGAGGACGCGGAGATCTTCCGGGGACGAAGGCGGGGACAGCTGAGGGCAACGAGAGAAGCGGAATAAGGAAGTGGGCGGAAGGCGGAAGCAACCAGGGACCGGGACGTCGCAGGGACCAGGGGGCGGATAAGGTCGCGGCAGAACGGGTCACGTGCTCCGACGGTCACGTGGACCAGGCGGCTTACGCCCCGCTGGGCCAGGAGTCCTGTGCGCCTGCTCAGTGTCGGGCGCTGGGAGGGGCGCTGGGTCGGTGTTGGGACTGGCTGCGGGAGCGCAGGGCTGCAGCCGGTACTCTGTCTCTTGCTGCTGGCTGCGGCGGAGGCGCAGGAGCGTGCGCCTTTGGCGCGTCTGTCTTTTCTTCCCGCGGAGAGGTTAGTGCACTACCTTGTTCTGGGAGCTTGTATGGTCTCTCACAGTGGTCCGCCCTTTGCTCCCCGCCGCCCTGAACGTCTCACGTCACGTGTTTCACCGGTACAGCGGAGGCCCCCTCCCTATTACAGTGATCTTTGGTCGATTTAGCTGGGAGTGAAAAGCACTCCGTCCATACCCACGTACTGAACCCTTTGAGCCAGTGCATAGCGGTAACTGCAAAGATAAAATAATTTTGAGCAGTTTAAGGAATTGGAAGGCGTGCTCCAGAGATTAGCGCCACTTATCCATTGACTTATAGCCTAGTTGATACAGATTTCTTAGTTGGTATGTTCTTAAGAAGTAGAAAATGTGTCCAAGAACTGAGTAGCTGCCTTGTATTTCATTCAAAAAATACGAGTTGAATACCTGCTGTTTGCTGGGCACTCTGGTTACAGGAGACACAGCATGAACAAAAGGCAAATCTTTATCCTCAAGGAGCTTAGGTGCTACAAGAGAGAGACAAAGATCTCCTTTCCTCTTGTTTTTTTCCCTGTAGCGTTGTGACTATTTAATGTATATTTTAGTGGTTTACCACGTGTATTATCTTTCACCCCCACTGTGATGTAACTTTCAAAAGATAGGGATTTTCGTCTATTTTATTTTCAGCTGTATTAGCAAGTAGGACAATTTCTGTCACATGGTAGGAACTCAGTTCATAATTTGTTGTGTGAGTTAATAAATTAAGAACACAACGTGTTTGCAAGTGATGTTAAATGCAATGGAGAAATAGTGGAGGAAGCTAGAGTGTGGGTGCTAGTGTGCGTTTTAAATGAAGTGGTCGGGGAAGACTTCACTGTGTAGGAGACATTTGAGCGAAGGTCTGAAGGAGGTGAGGGAATGAGACTTACAGACACCCGGGAGAAGTGTATAAGGGATAGTAAGTGCAGAGATCCAGAGACCAGAGTGACTGGAGCAAAATGAGCGAGGGGAAAAGGCTGGAGGAGATGTCAGAGTGGTGATGAAGGGCAGAGAATGGAGGGCCATGCAGTCTATCTTAAGGTGTTGGGCTTTTATTTCAAGGGAAATGTGAGGCCATCATCAAATATTATGAAGAGGAAAGATGTAATCCGATTTGAGTTTGGTTGCTGTGTTCAGAAGAATCTGAAGAACAGAAGCTGGGAAACCAATTCGGAGGCTGCGACAATAATCCCTGCGAAGGACAGCAGCTTGGACCAGGGTGGTGGCAGTGTTGGTGGTGAGGACCAGTCCGAACAAAGCCAGTGGGATTTGCTGACAGATTGGGTATGGAGAAGGAAGAGAAGAATAAGGTGGACTGCAGGTTTGGGGCCTTAGCAAAGGGAAGGATGTAATTGCTATTTCATGAGTGGGGGAGACTGGGAAGAATAGGATTTTCAGGAAGATTTCAGAAGCGCAGTTTTGAGCATGTTACATTTTTCATGCTCATCAGAGTAGTTTAGGGATAAATATTTGCTATTCATCAATTGTAGGTACCATATAAAACTATGAGATTGGGTGAGATCACCAAGAGCTGAGAATAGAGAAGAAAGGTGGCCCAGATACTGAGCCTTGGTACATTACATTCTTGGGATGGGAGACCAGCAAAAAAGACATCCTACCCATGAGGTAGGATGAAAATGGCCAGCGTGTTATCCCAGAAGCGAGTGAGGGAGTAGGGTGGAGTGATCAGCTGTAACACATGTTGCTGGTCAGTCAGGTAAAATGAATACTGAGAAGTGATCACAGGACTTATAAATGTGGTGGTCATTGCTGGCCTTGACAAATGGGCTTTGGTGAAGTGACAGAGATGAAAGCCCAATTGGAGTGGGTTCCAAAAAAATCAGAGAAGAGGAGATGGAGAGAGGCAATAAAACTCCTCTAAAAGGAAAGGAGCTCAGAGAACAAGTGTAGTATATGGAAGGGAAGATGGGGGTCGGGGAAGAGTTGTTTTTATAAAGTGGGAGAAATCAGAGCCTAGTTGTATGCTAATAGGAATATGTCAGTAAAAAGGGAAAAATAAATAGCATGGGAGAGAGAGGGGAGAAGGGCTTAACTCTGTCTTCTGTAGGCAGGGAGGGAAGAGACTCGGTGTGCAGACAGAGGACCTGGCTGTAGATGGGACCACGGGCCCCTCATCTGTAGCAGCAGAAGGGAAGACAAAGTATATGGGCACAAAAGCAATAGGTGGGCAGGTGGATGATGGCAAGAGCTGGTGGAAGTTCTCTCCTGATTATTTCTGTTTTGTCAACCAAAGAGGAAGCAAGGTTGTTATTGAGAATGAGAAAGGAGGAGGCATTGAAGGTGTGAGGAGAGAGCAAAAAGTAAAATGTAGTATGGGAGTACAGTATTTAAGATCATTGAGCGGCATGAAAGGCCCACCTGCAGTGAGTGGTCATGATTTTAAGTGAGACCAGATGGTGGTTGGTTGGTTGTCCGTCTCCAGCCACGTTGAGGTGCAGGAGTCCAGGCATAAACTGAGTGAATTACATTTAATTCACGTTGAGGTTTTGTCACGTGGGTATGTGGAAGAGTGGGGTACAAGGGATTTGAGGTCCATAGAATATAACTAAGTGTGGAGGAAGTGATGTGGGGAGTGAGGGACAGTGAAAAAGTGGTTGGATCATTGAATTGTAGGTCCTGTTGGGGTTGAAGAACTGTTGGAATTGGGTGATAGAAGGAGTGAGCCTGAAAGATCCGAGGTGGTGTTTGGAGAGTAGAATGCTTGAAATTGAGAACATGAGGTTGCAGATATTGGTAATGACAGGTCTAGCTAGAGCAGGACCCTCCAACAGGAATACGATACAAGCCACACACGGCATTTTAAGTTTTCTAGACACTTTAAAAGTAAAAATTAAGGGCTTCCCTGGTGGCGCAGTGGTTGGGAGTCCGCCTGCCGACGCAACGGACGCGGGTTCGTGCCCCGCTCCGGGAGGATCCCACGTGCCGCGGGGCGGCTGGGCCCGTGGGCCATGGCCTCTGGGCCTGCGCGTCCGGAGCCTGTGCTTCGCGATGGGAGGGGCCGCAGCGATGAGAGGCCCGCGTACCGCAAAAAAAGAAAAAAAGAAGTAAAAATTAAGAGGTGAGGTTAATTTTATCTAGCCCAATATATCTAAAAATATTATTTCAACAAGTAATCAATATAAAAATTATTGAGGTATTTTACTTTTTTATATTAAGTATAAAATACAAGGTACCAAAAAAAATTATTTTTTAAATTTTATTGAGCCACATTTCAAGTACTCAGTAGCCACAGGTGCCTAATGGCCACGATATAGCTCGGAGCGTAAGACCCTGGGAGTAAGTGGCTAAGGGAGGATGGAAGATGAGATCACTCGGAGGGGGGGGATCACGCCCCCCACCAATCTGCACGGATGTACAAACCATCAAGAAATATGACAAGGGCAATGCGGAGCACGGAAATTCGGTACCCAAAATGTTATATAAAGCTCTTAGTGTAATTAAAAGTCTAGTGTATTTTTATCTTTAAAATTAGTTTGTGCAATTAAAATTCCACTTTTCTGAGATGTGTTCCAGTTTTTAACAAAGCCTAAATAATTTTGTGTGTGTGTCGGATACCTTAAATGCTACCCCTCTGTTTTTTCTCAGCAAAGATAGAAAGCACACTTGTTTGTCCTGTAGCTTTTACATTCTTTGTCCCAGCCTCTGTGTGAAGGCAAGATTTAGAGCTTGGAGGTAAGAATTTCCTAGAAGAGAATGGAAGAATCTAGGTCTTCGTAAACAGATTCCTAAAATATTGTATAATTAGGTTCTGCAAAACCCGCTGGTTCAACTGGCAGGTAATAGTACTAACTAAAGGTGAACTAAAATAGCTAGTTGGACTGGAACTAAACAGAGAATTCCAACTTTTGAAGATATTTTGAAAGCAGCAGGTTCTACCTCCTAAATATCGCAGTGACTCATCCTTGCCCTCATCCTTTTATTTTATTTTTTATTTTATTTTATTTTATTTTTGCGGTACGCAGGCCTCTCACCGCCGCGGCCTCTCCCATTGCGGAGCGCAGGCTCCGGACGCGCAGGCTCAGCGGCCATGGCTCACGGGCCCAGCCTCTCCGCGGCACGTGGGATCTTCCCAGACCGGGGCACGAACCCGTGTCCCCTGCATCGGCAGGCGGACTCCCAACCACTGCGCCACCAGGGAAACCCCCTGCCCTCATCCTTTTAAAGGGAGATAATATATATGCAGTGGTTACAGTGTTGTCTCTAGAACTGGAAAAGCCTGGGATTTCCTTCTGTCTCTGCATCACTGACTGTAAGCAGTCAGCCTCCCTAAGCCTCAGTTTCCCCTGTGAAGTACCTCACAGGATTGTCGTGAGGTGAGAAGCAGAGCGCTTGCTGGGTACAAAGTACTCGGAAAGCAATGTCTTAGTCTCTCTCAGTTCCTCCTCTAAGTTTTAACCAAGGATATGTTTCTTGAACGTACTTTTGACCATGTGAGTCTCACGTGAAGAGCTCCACCTTCCCTCTCCTATAGAAATTCTTTAGGACGAGTGCTTAGGATGCAGCCATAGGCTCCTGTTCAGCCCCCATCTGCTACTGCAGCTCACACCTGGCTCCCCTGAAGTTGCATCCTGTTTGTCAGGTGAACAATACTGTTTACCTGCGGTGTTCGACTTGCTGATCCCTCTGCCCTTTTGAAACCCGATTCAAACATCACCTCTGATAGGCACCAATAATTGTCTGTTGCTTTAAGGTGTTAGAAAAATGATATGTGTTTAAAGGACAAATAAACTACTTTTTTTTTTGGTTTGGCCACGCCGTGCGGCATGTGGGATCTTAGTTCCCAGACCAGGGATTGAACCCTTGCCCCCTGCATTGGGAGCGCAGAGTATTAACCACTGGACCGCCAGGGAAGTCCCTCAATAGCTTTATAGTCTTATAACCTTCCAGAAAGAAGGCTAAAGGTTGACTAAAAGAGAGGTGGTGAAAACACTTGTATGTATTTTTTTAACCTCATTCTTTTACTAGGCTTAAGTTAAGATGTATCTATTTTGCAAATTGTTTTACAGAAATATACCTGTTGCCTGGGAAAACACTATATACTTTTTAAACATTTTTTATTAAAAAACTTGAACTTTGAATTCTTTTTCTTTTAGCTTGAGATGTGGTAATGTCAGCCAGACTTCTCAGATTCTTGGCCAGATCTCACTATATTTTATCAAAAGCGTGTCAGTGCCAAAGACTTGTTCATCGAACATTAAAACCACTTAAGAAATTTGAGACCACAACATGCAACACCCTGACAAGAAGTCAGAACGTGAATTTGTTCTTTCCTGATACAGCAGCTGTTGGTTTGAATAAGTCCCAGGTCCTGGAAATGAACCAGAAAATATCAAATACAAATGTACTCTCTCCATTAAACACCGCACGTTACCAAGATGAAAAAGAGCACCTTCCAACCAGGAACTCCCTTGGTACTCATAGGAAAGTGACTCACAAACCAAATCTGTTAGGTTTTAAGTGGTTTATAAAAATACTAAAGAGACATTCCTCATCTGTGTCAACGGTGTCAACGGAAACACTTGTTTCTAAACAAGACTTTCCGCAAATCAAGAGACCACTGAAAGCATCACGGACCAGGCAGCCATCCAGGACCAACCTTCCAGTTCTGCCTGTGAACAAGGTAAAAACACTTGTGGTGGTGGCGCCTCTGTTCCCTAATAATCACTCTGAACCCCTGTGGCTCCCACCTCAGCCTTACTACCAACATAGGAGAGCCAGCCATCAGCTCAGCACTTCTTTCAGGATCTTTGAAGCCTAATAGTAAAACCTGTCATCTCCAAAGGGAATCAGCATCTTAATTTTAGGAATTAGTGGTACATGTAAAGGCAAAATAGAGGCAATTAAATATAAAAATATAGTTTATGAAAGGATTAGTGGCCTAAGGAAATTTTGAAAAAGACTAGTAGTAAGTCCATTCTAGGAACAGTGCTATAAAAAGCCCCCATTGAAAAAAAAAAAATCAAACTGTAGAAATTCTGTATTAAATTAAAAAAATTTTTGTTACATTAAGTATGCAGACAGGTAAACATTCATTAGCCCATGGCAACTGCGTGGGAGGGGGTGGTGAAAGGACATGGCAAGGTGGAATCCAAAAAGCAGAGTGAAGGGTTTTGCATTTTTTTATCATTTGAAGGTTGAAGTGGTTGTTTTCATTCACTGTTAAGAGGTTTATGGGAATTTCTCAACTACAGTTTGCGTTTGCCCACTAAATGATAAATATTTGGTAACCTGTGGTAACCTGTGTATCTCGCACGTTACTTGAAACTGTGCCTTATACTTAATAAATGTTTATTAAACAGGAAAGGATGGAAGAGAAGCAAAGGGATCTTTGATGTCTGTAGCCATCAACATTAAAAGTAGGAATGTCGAATATTTAAAACTTGATGAAGCATTCTGAATCTATCAGAAAACAGGTTATATACTGCGTGGTTGACTTCCTTTGAAAAGGTGTACAGGCCTTCACGTCTTGTCCTCAGGTTGTGAAGTTAGGAGTTGGTTAATGACTTTTATTTTGGATTCTAGCTTTGTTTACATTCTTGTTTGGTTTCCTTGAACTCACGATATGAAGGATGGGAGTTTTGGATGCATTCTGCTCTCAGCCCTTTCCTTCTAGCTCTTGAGTGTTTAATTATGTTGTTTAGTTTTGTGATCATCTGGGAAATTTAGTATTTAAGTGACTGAGATGAAATTAAGTGTAAAAACCTGAATTCACAGCAGATCCAAAAAAGAGGAGCATCAAGTCCCTTTTTTCTTCTGTTACATCTAGCAGTGCAGAGCAGAATCAAGTTTCTTATGAAAGGCTGGTAAGGTCAGAAATGTCACTTTTTTTTGTAGTTGTCGGTTGTAAACTGGCAAAGAGGCATTATTTCTTTGGGCTGTCCGTAGACTTGAAAGCAGTTTTCCTGGATTCCGTTTTTTATTTTTCTTTAGGACTTTTTCCCTTTCTGCTTCCAGGAAAGGATTTGAAGTAGATTGTCAAAATTTAATAAGTTTCCAATGAGATAATAAAAGCATTACATTTAAAATAGAGCAAGCAGTTGATATGAACAGAGAAGTAAATATTATCAGATATCTGATACGAGTAATCTAGTTGAATATTTAGTTCCGTGAAGCCCAATGATTAAAGAAAGGCAGGAATACTCCTGGGTTGTACATTTCTTGTTGTCTAACAAGAAAAAAAGAAAAACATAAGAACGTCTTATAGGAAATAACTTTTTCTGTCACCAAACTTAAGGAGTCATTTATTTCCTGGGTCCTGACATAGGACATGTTATGTAACGTAATAGCTGTGACTTCAGTTGGAATTTGGCGAAAACAGAAACAGTATGTCGTTCCTCTGGAAGCACAGGAAAATAATAGACAATCTTTTCTATTTCTGAAGGCATTTTGAAAGTGACCTGAGGGAGTATGATTTTTGGAACGTTATTTTCTAATGATCTTACAGGAGAACACAGTCTTGAGGTATAACGAGGTAATTTATGCCCAGGGCTGAAGACTGGCTTTTATCTGTTCCGAATAGAGGGCCCCTCCATTTCCACATGGGCATCATGGGGCTGGCTAGTCCCCTTTGGTGGTAAAGCCCTTTCCTCCCCTCTGGACTGAGTCAGGAAAGGACTCTACTTTGTACCAGAAAGAGGTACCCTTTGTCTCATTCCCCACGTGTGCACCTGAGCTCACCCTCTTACCTCTGCCACATGGCGTGCGCTTGGAATTGACTGGGTGAGGCCACTCACCCTCTGTATTAGAATCAAGTCTTCACCTGATTCCATTTGTAGAGATCATAACCTACTGAGATATTCAGCCCACATACCGTTGGCTCCTCACTTATCATGGCAGGGCCAGTGCTTCTTGTTGGTCTGTCCTGTCTTTGAGGAAGACGCTGCCCGAGGGTGAGGACCAACCTCTGAGCAGCGTGGAGGCTGGCAGAGGAGGCAGGGTGCTGGAATGCCCAGCAGTAGTTTGCAGGCTCACACCACAGTGTGTAGTAAAATTAACCAGTGGATTGTTAATAGGTTTGGGGTTTTTTTGGTTTGTTTGATGAAATAGAATAGAAAGTATCAATGCATTACTCATGATAAAGGTAAATATTGTTCTGTGAAGCTTTTGTGTCAGTTATTGGTGTGGGTGTCTCTGTGTATGTAGGTACTGTGTATGTGAAAGGGTTTCTCACCACGGGTTGTAGTCAGAAAGCTTAAAAGCTAAAGCTTTACACTAGTAATGTAAAATAAATCTGTGTTTTCTAACTTTTGCCTATAATCTGTACATAACAGGAAAAACATGCATTTTTTCCCCTGAGTAATATAGAAGCAACAATACTGTAATGCACTAATTTCTTTTTGTAGTAAAAGAACACAAATAAAAATAAACTTTCTTTTTTAGGAAAACTATTCTGTCAGAGTATGTGATGCTCTAAAACAAGAATCATATATAAATTTCTAGCCCCATCTGCTGGAATATGTTTTCTGTGGCCAGAAAAATGAAGCATACTGAAACATGGTGGTTTTCTTGGCTTTGGTTTTGTTTTGTTTGGGTTTGGGTGGTTTTCTTTTAACATTTTAAAATAGAAAGGCCTAAATTTAAGTCTTAAATCCAATAACTATTTTAGGTTGGTTTGGCACATTTATTTAAGAACAAGTTGTTGATCCCCATGCTAGAACCTGAAATTTGGTATATATTTATATTTAATGCTCAAAAAATAATGGTTCATTATAAAAATCCAGAAAAAGACATGTCTGAAAATGAAAGCTTCTTGCAGAGTAACAACATCTTTAAATAATAGGGGGGAAAATGCAAAGATGACACACACTCTTTACCTTTACCAAGT